AACACAAAAGGGTACTGCCATTATACATCACATAACATGATTCGCTTCTAATTGAAAGGAATCGGTACTCCCTACCTGAATTCACCTTGTCGACTCTGGTCGAGATCAAAAATAATTCTGTTAAATTTGTGGGATCTCCATAGAGTTCACACACTAGAGACTATCGGAACTAAACGAATATCATTTGCGAGTGTATAGGTGCTCCTTGACAATTTACCAATATACGGCTTTCAAAATGAACGTTGAACGAGTCAGCTCAATATTATTCCAATAATTATATACAACATTCATGATTATTCACATGGGCGTGGACACTGTACATGTGTACATGGGAGGTAGGTTGATACGTTTTTATCAGATTGGGTGGTTTAGGAAAACTAGTTGGTGGATATTTTACTATCTTTTGCAGTTCCTAAACTGGAGCAATGTACAGGGTGGAACATTGATCACCTTAAAACAAAATAGGTCATATGCATGTAATATAAAATAGCTCCTTTTAATTTTTTTCTTATTCTATTTTGATACCAGATCAATGTAAATGGGTTCACATGACTATATACTTTATAAATTTTAAATAGTTCATAATTGAAAACGTGAAAATTACGAGACAGATTCAAATTAGGTAAAACGCAACGGGATTGGTAGAATCTTCGGATGACGTCAAAGTCCATGTCAACAATATTCATTTACATGCTGTTCTGTATATTCTATTATTGTTTGTCCGTCTACTTGGAGTTTTGCAAGCAGTTATTTGGCTATTATCATTTTATCATTACTGTGAACGTCCCAGAAAATAAATACAATGACTGAAGCCGGATTTGTCATGGCACAATCTGACAATTCGCCGAGAATAGATGTCTTCATGATGACAAGTTTTTTCGCAAATCATCCCGATTTCACTTCAGCTGAGATTAGAGGCGTCAAAGCTGCAAGGTACTTGAATAATTATTGTGTATAAGTGTCTTTTGATTTCAGCTTTTCATTCAGTTTTTTAGTTATTTGCTTACTAACGTTGCTTACTAACCTCAAATAATGTAGTGAAACATTCGTTCAGGAAAATGTTTACAATCACTTCTTATTCTAACCTGATGAAATTTTTGTTTTTAGATCTGAAAGATATTCTTATGGCGATTCAGCTATTTGATATGTTCAAGTAAATAGGGAAGCAAATATATGTGTAGTGAAAGCTCGTATTACTCCCGAACATAATGTGAATCAGAAGTGCTACTCTGTAACAGCAGTATGTGATGAAGCTGAACAAAGAATTGTCTCTGCAGAATGTGAAGATTGCGCAGCACATTTAGGTACATACAGGGTGATTCAAAAGTACTTTGACAAACTTCAGGAGGTCATTCCTCACAATATTCTAATATGAATTGTCCAAATAAATAAATGTCCGGAAACGCTTCGAATTCCTTAACACAAATCAGGTTCGAATTCGACACCTCAAAAACCTCCTATTACCAAGTTTCGTTTAATTAAGTTCAGTATTTCAAAGGTTATTTGAAAAAAAACGAAAATAAAAATAAAACTTCAACATCCTGTATCTTGGAAACGAAGCGTTTTCGGACATTTATTTATTTGGACAATTCATATTATAATATTGTGAGGAATCACCCACTGAAGTTTGTCAAAGTACTTTTGAATCACCCTGTATAATTGATGGGTAAAATATTATTTAGAGGCACGAATGAGTATCAACACAAGTTGCAATTTACACATTTTGCTTCATAAAAATAAGAGTCTGATTTCAAAATGTGATCATGTTTTATCCAGAAAATATAATTATTATATATATTTTTAATTTTCAGGTGGATGTAAGCATGCAATAGCTTTTATAGCTTGGCTGCACAGACGTAGCGAAGCCCCTCCCTCTACTAGTATCGACTGTTACTGGAAGAAGTCCAAATTATCCACGACCCTAAAGTATATAAGAGCTAAAGAGTTAGGTAGTAGTTCAAAAGATAAACCTGCTCCATCTGCCAATACTCGAAGCCTTCTGCCAACTCTAAGAAACCATAGCAAAAGCATCGGTCACATGTAAAGTCAACTCATTAAATACTACAAGGAAAAAAGCAGAGTAGAAAAATTATCCATTCATCATTTAGTAAATACATTACCAAATGAACCGGCTAACGCCACAGAATTCATCAATTATTGCAGGAGTATGATGGACACATCATCTTGCAATGGAGCTAATCTAGTTACAATTGATCAGAATGACTGTCCGCTGTGGCATGAGCTACGGTATGCTAGGATTACTGCTTCGAAGATGCATGAAGCAGTACACTACAAAGTTTTCGAAGGCACCTTATGTGAAAGTATAATGGGAGCAATTAAATTAAAGGACACAGAGGCGATGAAAAGAGGGCGTTTGCTAGAGAAAAAAGTATTGAAAGAAGTTGAAAAACAATGAAATTAAAAATTAATGGGTGTGGTTTGATCTTGAACTCTAATTATCCCGTATTTGGTGCATCTCCTGATGCTGAGAGTATTAATTACATTATTGAAATTAAATGTCCATCATCTGAGAGTGCCATGAGTAGATATGTTTCAAAAGATGTTATATCCTCAAAATATATGGCTCAGGTCCAAATGCAGATGTATTTTTCAAATAAAAAAAAAGCTTTTCTGTGTTGTTCTTAATGCTGATATTCTTTTGGACTGCTTCACCTCATGTTTTGTACTTGCTGTAGACTTGAATGCTCAAATGAGACAAGTCTTTAAAGCCTCTGTCTGCCATAACAGCTGTGTTTGGAGGTGAACATTCTAGATAGCCACAATTTTTTACTATAATGATGTCAGAAGCCCTTCCACCATAACCTTCTGAAATAAAATTGACTAATTTATCTGAAGTACAAGAAATGAGGTATTTCAGAGTATTACATTTCTTATATTGTGACCATGACAGAGACTGGTGGATTGCATTGGACGGTTTTTCAATTTCTATTTCTAAGCAATCTATAATGGAAACAACTTCAGAATACCGTGCTCTAAAAGCGATAGGTAAATTTTTAACTATGTCAGATGGCTTAGGTCACACAAGTAACTCCCTCATTTTGTGGGGCACAATACCTTTAGGTAGACGTACTGTAACAGGTACCCCTCCCTTGTTGATTTTTCATTATTTGGTACTGAATGAAGTTCTCTGTATCCTTTTTTACCTGAAAATGGAGAATAACACCAGTCATATAGGTTTTATATTCGAGAAGTAAATATGTGTTTTAGACTATGACACTAAATATAAATATACCTATGTAAATATAAAAATACTTACGTCAAAGTGATCTTCACAATAGTATAAACAGCTCGTTATTAATGGGTGTGGTTTGATCTTGAACTCTAATTATCCCGTATTTGGTGCATCTCCTGATGCTGAGAGTACTAATTACATTATTGAAATTAAATGTTCATCATCTGAGAGCGCCATGAGTAGATATGTTTCAAAAGATGTTATATCCTCAAAATATATGGCTCAGGTCCAAATGCAGATGTATTTTTCAAATAAAAAAAAAGGTTTTCTGTGTTGTACATCATGATTTCGAAATATCAAAGGAAGTAGACAATTATATTGTATATTATGATGAGAACAGCTCGTTGCAGACAGTTTCGGGTTCTCAAATTCGTCCCTTTTTATAGCTTTACACCACTTTAATCGAATGTTTTCATTCCTCTGCACAAGAAAAAATACATTTTGAGGAGCAGTTTTCGTTTTATTGTTGCACTTCGGAACTATGCAGTACTTATAAACTGATTTTCCACTACTTTCCATCTTTAATTCATTGAAATTATCAAGTGATACAATAAAGAATCAACTATGTTTACTTCTCTGTGCTTTGAATCGCTTTGTTGACATGTACTTTGACGTCACATATTCCCGCCAAATGGTCGACCGTTTGAATTGTCGATATTTGGTATACAATTTTATAATATTTTTTCTGACTAATTATTTATGTTTCCAGTATTTGTATGCATTATATAATCGATTAGAACAATTAGAAAAAAATATGCATGTGACCTATTATACGCAGTGAGTGAAAACGAAAACGTTACAGCAATTGAGATAGTTTTCATTACATTTTCATCATAATTGTAACTATCAATTTTAAAGTTATTCGAATGAGTTGGGACTGAGAACGAAAGTTATTTCCGATATCTAACATCATCAAGGATTTGAATGAAGTAGAGAATCAATGAATTCATTCAATGAATTACATCAGGATAGTTGTTTTTCAACCAGCATTCACATCCCATTTGTAATAGTGAGAACACAGTAAGTCTGTTGAATGAATGGGAAGGGAAGGGAAGAAGTAGAATCAGGCAGTGTTACCTGAAAAAAATTGTTTGGAAGGTGGCTATGTTGAAGAATATGAATATGTCCAACGAAAGTCATTTTTTGTGAAGGAAAATCAGTTTTTTAACGACCTTTTTTTGGGTATTTGTTACCTTCCACAATCTGAAAAATATAAAAATCATAATGAAGAACTTTATATGAACTAAATATGAAAAAGTAATGGACCCAGTACTGTACCCTGAGGAACACCTGTGGTAACTTTTGATGGTTTTCTCAACGCATTTTCTATTTTCACTCTTTGAGTCCCCCATTCAGGTAACTGGTAAATAAATCTAACACTGGACCACTTATTCCTTTGTCCGATAACATGTTCAGTAGTATATGATGCGTCGAAAGCTTAAGCTGAATGGAGAAAGACAACCAAACATTTGTTTGAAAGATCTAAATTCTTCATAACACCTTTCGTGAGCTCTAGTACTGCACTTTTAAGTGTCTCAGTTTTTCATGAAGCCAAATTGTTTATCGATAATCAAACAGTTTTCATCCACATAATCCAACAGTTTCTCTTTTAGACAGTATTCGAATATTTTAGCAGAGCTGTTTATGGATAACTAGCAAGCATCCGACGAACCACCATATGGTGGTTCAATCAAGCGTCGTGTTACAACTAGAGTTAAAATTCATTTCAATTTTCTATTTGTGATTTATTGAATCACTACAAGTTCCAAGTTGAATAAATAATTTCGTCAACATCAATTGACTCAATGTTAAATTCTATGTAATATAAATATGTTTCAGTCTAGTTAATATAACTATTTTGTAATAAATATATACACACATTGAACTGAACTTCCATATGGATTTATCTGTCACCATGTTTTCGTTGTTTTCTTGAAGTAGAAGAAGCCATCGTTTCCTGAAAAATAAATTTTATTCTGAATGAATAAATACTATTCAAATTACAATCATTATGAAATAACAAAAATGAGTGATGTAAAATATTTTTTGAGAGAAACGTAAATAATCAAACACTGTATTTTCTGAATGCGTTTGAACGTATTCCAATATCACTTTGTACTACAAGAACTATGGATGAATTTAGCCACATAAATTTAAAACACTCAATCGGAAAGAGACAAATTTGAGAACGTTTTCCGGGTACTTTGGAATAGTTTCTTTGTTTCATCAAGCTACTGAATGTATTCTCATTTATCATCGATTTATTGCTAGTCAACAAACACCTTAAATATGGGATATGCAGGTTTATTTTGGAAAATTGATGACACCATTTTTTGTTTGTTAATTCACATTTAATGTTTTCAGAATCATTTGATGCATAATGATCGAAAAAGGCATCCAACATATCACAATAATATACTTTCTTTAGGGAAATATGTTGAACATTTCAGATTTTGAAGAAAAATCAGACTTGTCAAATCTGGAACGAATTTTATAATTATCTCAAGCTGCGCATTTCCTGCTAGTAAATTATGATCGTAAATGAACGCGCAAAGAAGACCGTTTGCCAGTTCAGAAAGTTTAATTTATAATCGACAAGTGATCCATACTTTTTGAGGCCCAAGGATGAATTTGATCACTGCACAAAATTTTTTAAATCAAATCACTGAATTATACAGAAGACACTATCCTCTACTCAGTTTGTATTCCAAACATTCGTTATGGAATAAAATCAGGTAACATTCATAGAAATTCTACATTGAATGAATGGAAAAAATTTGCACTTACATGAAACACTGTCATCCTCACTGGAAGACATCGATGTTTCGCCGTAAAACACTTGCCTTAGGACTCATCAGTACCAACCTGGATATCATTATACGAAAAAGCACACAATTCATTCATGAATCACGATTTTTATGTCACGGAATAAGTGTGATTTAGTTGTGTCATCGATGACATCGTAATGTCATTCATTCCCCTATTTGATTAAATCCCAGCCAACAGGAATATTGTTTAAATAGAAATTGAAAACTGAAATTTACAACGAAATGAAGTCCCAAAGTATGCAAATCAACAAGTTGCGTATATTAGAACAAAGGCGCGCAATAAAGATCGACCAAAATATAAGAAAACTGAAATATCAAACTTAAAACAACTAAAGGCACCTAACACAAAACAATAGCCAGAAAACCAAAAATTTCAAAAAAACTTTTATTACAGCGAGTAAAAGAACATTAAGATCCACTTTTTGAGAAAGAAAGTTTTTGGCTTTCTACTACTCCATCTCGATACAAAAAAAGATGAGGGAATCTTCCAAAAAAAGGAAGGAAGTAATCAATTTTAAAATAAGTAACTCTTTATATGGATGCATGCAAAGAAGTAACTTCAGACACCAAACTGAAAGTAAAATCCCTCCTGAAACAGCTACTTTCATATAAACATTGGGTCACACGAAAGAAAAATTCTTTCGAAACAAATACTTTCATATGAACACTGAATTATACAGAAGACACTATTCTCTACTCAGTTTGTATTCCAAACATTCGTTATGGAATAAAATCAGGTAACATTCATAGGAATTCTACAATAAATGAATGGTAAAAATTGCACTTGCATGGAACACTGTCATCCTCACTGGTAGACATCGATGTTTCGCCATTAGACACTTGCCTTAGGGCTCATCAGTACCAATCTGTATATCATTATACGAAAAAGCACACAATTCATGCATGAATTACGATTTTTATTTGTTTTATCTACAAAATGAGCTGAAAAGTTTCGGGTCTAATACATAGATGGCGCGTATTCATTAAGCACTAACTTTTAAAAGAAAGCTGTTGAAATTTCATGAGATTCCACCCATAAGTTTGTGACTTAATGTGCTGAGAGTGAAACTCATTTTGTTATTTTCAAAACAATGGACCAAGAACATTTCCGTGTTTTAACTTTACGCAGCTTCTTCTTAAAAAAATACCGTTTACGCAAAGCAATTGCTTGAAAAATGTTATAAGTACTCCGCATCATCAAAAACAACAATAAACCTCAGTTTGCTGATCTCAAACGTGATCGTAGGAGCACCGATGATGCAGAACGCAGTGGACGTCTAAATGAAGCAGTAGCATCAGTAAACATAAAAAAATCCACAAAATCGTTTTGAATGATCGAGAAGTGAAGATGTGTGAGTTAGCTGACATAGTAAAGATATCAAAAGAACGTGTTGGTTTTATATTGCATGAGCATTTGACTGTGAAGAAACTCTATTCAAAATGGATGCCGCGCGAGTTCACTGTTGACCAAAAACAAAAACGTCTTGATGATTCTGGCCATGTTTAAATATAGCAAACCGGAATTTTTGCGTCGATATGTGACTATGTTTCATCCATCACTTCACTCCGGAATCGAAATAATCGTCATCTGAATGGAGAGCAACTGATGAACCTCGTCCAAAGCGTCGAAAGCACAACAATCGGCTAGAAAGGTTATGGTCTCGGTAGTTTCGGATGTGCGTGGTGTAATATTCATCGTATATCTTCAGAAGGAAAATAATATCAATAGTGAATATTGTTTCATTAAGACAATGCACTGTGTCACAATTGAATGAAAATAATGGCAAAGCTACATGATTTATTTGAACTTCGAATTGCTCCTATATCCACCGTGTTCGCCAGATTTGGCTTCTAGCGCCTACTGGCTTTTTGCAGACTTCAAAAAATGCTTACCGGTAAGGAGTTTCTCTCGGATGAAGAGGTTATTCCTCAAATTGAGGCATTTTTTGGGGAAAAAGATAAATCGTTACACAAAATAGGTATTGAAATGTTAGAGCGGCGCTGGAATGATTGTGTAGATGGAGATCACGTTGATGAATAGAACCAATTCTGAATGAAAAAAACGCGTTCGGGACTTTTCAGCCCATATTTTACGTGTTTGTTGAGTTGTATTCTGCTTATTTATATATTTCATCTATATTTCACACTTGTTCTTGACTCGCTATAATTGTGCAGAAATGTATGAAAAATAGTCAAATAAATGAATGTATTCATATATCTACAGTGAAAATACACCAGATCACATCCTGATTGATTTCGACACTTTCTGTTTTTCTAAAAGTACCACCCAAAAATACAAAGAATATCCCTGAGGCGTTGTTATCATTCAATGCGGTGTGTTCGAAAAATATGTTCACAATCTGTTTTTCATTAAACAGTTTTCACTCCCCTACGAACGACAACCCTCAGAAGTAGAAACTTATGCGAGCTAAGGATTGACGGGTCTTGCCTTTTATCGAGAGATTCATAGCATGGGTTTGATGATAGGTAGTGACTATCTATCGTTCGGACTCGCGACTTGTTCCACCGTTTCATCTGTACTATATGCCTTCGAAGCAAATAGCAGGTACACAAAACCGATAGAAATTGAAAAACGTAAATAGTTTATGGAGGCTGGATTACCATGAGATAACATCAAATAAATCAATTTAATTGATTCTGATAAAGATTTGAAATACGAAATAAACAATCTCGTTCAGAATTTTGAGATGGAAGACTGTAGTTGAGAAAAAATATTTCGTCTGAAAGTTTTACATGTCGACAAATTGAAATTGTTACTAATATTCATGTAACCATATGGCAGCGTGGCGTATATAACGTTTTTATAAATAAAAAGTCATTTCTTGCTTTCCACGTTCGTAATATTGTGTTGTGTTAAAATTAATCAAGTAGTTCAGAAATTGTATCAACAAAATACAGACATCAACTTATACATATACAAGCTGTTCAATGTTTATTATGTATTGTAAAGTTGGAGTATGAGTTGATTTTAACTATGAAAGCATATTGTGTTTCACATATTTTGTGAAACTTTGGATGGTTGAACTAGACGAGCTTTGAAACTTGTTCCAAAAACAAGGCTACACATTCAATTTCACTCACTCGAACAATCTGGTTTTATACTCTTAGAATATGATTTTGGAGAACGGTCATAGAAATATCAGATAATCTTCATTTATAATGAAATGAATATGTTGCGATTGTGAGTGACCAATAATTTCAGATAGTACCTATTGTGTATTGAGCTCATGTTGAACTGTAGTTTTTGGTAAAATTATCCAATCGCTTTGTGATGATGTTTTGTTCAAGTAGTCTTCATAAAAGTTATTATAGGGTATTCCACCTGAATTGAATCATCATAATTTTACTTCACCTGTACCAATAGAGAGAAGAATTTTTGTTAATAAATATTCAATTATGGTATTGACCTTGGTGTTTACAACACAATATAAATTTATGATGTACTTTACAAAAAGAATCCCAATTTGGATAGTAATACTCTTATACGAATCTACGTTGCCATTAGTCATCGTGTATGTTGGTAAATAAGTTAAAAAGACTCAATGCATTGATTTCTGAAATTTTGGCTTTATGTGGAACCTATTTTATGTAAGAAATTCGTTGATAAATATAATTTTGATCATTCGTTTATGTACTTTGAACCATCATGTATTAATATTAAAATCCCTTCCAGAATTTAATATTTCATTTAACTCCTCCTGCATGGATCACGAATGATATTTCTACTTGAACTCAACTGCGACTAATATCACCATATACCAAGTTTCTCAATGACAGGCCATAACAGTTAAGCGTTTTCTCTTGACAGCTTTCATTTGTTCACATACGAATTTCTTGAAAGTTGCTCGCACGCGGTTTCTATAACAATTAGATAACAAAAAATATACAACCGACTTTAATAGCAATCAGAGAGGCCTAATGAAATTATTTTTTTCAAAAATCAGTATTTCGAGCAAGAGAAAACAGAAGTGAATAGTATGTTTGAATAAATCTTGATGAGAATCACAAAATCAATTTCGTGGCTGCAAATTTAAAGACTGATAAGTGGTTTGAAATTTCAGATTCCAAAACGAGTTTGGAAAACTTATAAACCAAGGGCCAGCTAAGAAGGCTATCTCAATCCTCTGACATTTAAAAAATTCAATAAAAAAGCAAAAGAAAGCAAATAATGATGGAACTGAATGAGGAAACTGAAAGAAATGAACTATAAAAAATTTTGCGCATACTACTTCCATGGAATTATTAAATTTCAAAAAATCATACCAAAAATTGTATATCAACGTAGACCAATTATTTTATTTATATTTATAAATGCTCTGTAACTTTGATTAGAAAGAGCAGAAGTTTATTATCTATTTCCCATGTGAACTACGTTATTGAGTTTGAGTTGGTGTTTCATATTTTATTGTGATTCCAAAATCCCACATTTCACATCGAGATGATCCTGAAGGTTGTGGATATCTTCGAAGTCATCACTGGAAACAGAAAAACCAGTACACGAAAAAATATGGTAGACGGTTGGGTTGGCATGAGTGGTTTGTTCCACTCATACAATCCATCGTCAGGTGAAACAGTGGTTCGAAGTGCGAGGCCGGATGATACATATCTAACCCACACACGCTACGAATCGCATGTTTAAAGTCCCCGTTTAAACTCCTCGTTAATTTTCAGCTCGCACCAGCATCGAATTTTGAGGGTTGTCCTTTATATGGGGGTAGTCAACTGGTTAACAAAAACCCAAAACTTTGATGTTATGTGGTTCAAAATAATATCACAGGTGATCACTAAATTTATATGCGGCGTTTATCAACCAACAAGCTATATACAATATAAGGCATCATTCTCTTTACTTGCAAACACCATTGACTTCCTGCAAATCAATCATCCCAGCGCCAAACTTTCCATATTGAGTGACTTCAATGTTCACGATAACGAATGGCTTGAATTTTTAAATATATACGACGAACAAGGTTGCGAAGCTGAGACCTTTGCAATAAGCAGCGAACTTACTCAGATTATAGATGAGCCAACCAGAATTCCTAATTGTCTTTTGGATCTAGAAATTTACACAGTCACCGTAAGGTCTCCATTGGGATCTTCTGACAAAAAACTCATTTCAGTGTTGAGTGATTTATCAAAAAATTGATGTTTGTTGATGTTGAAGTCACGAAAGTCATTCTATCATTCATAAATGCATATATTCCTTTTTCGATGAAACGAACTCCTAATGGCAAACTTCGATTCAACAAAGATTACGAGGAACCTGTAGCCTCAAAAAATCTCGCCTTTCGGGAATGACGCAAAAATCTCAGTATCGAAAACAGAACTAGGTTTGTTAATGCTTGCAACCGCTGCAAAATCAGAATAAATGAAAGCAAAGAACTTCACAAATAGAGAATTAGAGTTAAACTGCTTGCCGATACCAACGGGTTTAGATCCTTCTAGTCGGTAGTTATTAATCAAGCTGTTGATCAAAATTCCATGAAATCTACAGTTCCATCACTAACACAAGCGGGTGGTACAATTGCAACAACTTATTGAAAAAAAAACAAGAATCCAATATATTGTTTTGCTCAAGACAGCACACTTGTCTCGGCATTCCATTTTGATTCCAGGACATCGGCTAGATGGTACATAAGGAACGAAATGGTATTAGTCTGTGTCTACCCCCTCATCATTGCGAATTCAATCCAATTGAAATTGTTCGAGCCTCGTGAAGTGTTTCTTTGCAAAAAATATGACATTCAAAACAACATTCCAAAATACTTTTTGAAGAGTATTGAAGGAGTTATGGAAGAAGCGAACAAAATGTGAGCATTGAACCATTCAGTTGAGAAAACTAGAAACCTTCAATAATGATATTCGACAAAAATTTATCGGATTTATATGACGATAGTTCACGGTTACGTTTGCCTATACATGCAATACATTCAAACACATGAAATACTGAGGCAAGAATTTTTTGTTGTACCAACATGTATGCTTTCAATTCGAATAAACTGCTGATTCATTGTCAAAACTAACTGAACAGATATCGAGAATAATTTTTTTGAATTTTTTCAGGTCCACTGGATATGAAAATATCCAGATGAGTTTCTTTGAAGGTGGTTGTCAACGTTTCACGGCGAGTTTCATTATTTCGAACGTCCATTGTCTACTATGATATAATATGATTTGAAATCCCTGAAAGAACAAATGAAATTGAAAATCAAAATGAATGACTGAAAACAACAATTATATCAAGCAGAAAAATCCTGAAATGGAATTCCAATAGACTCAAAATGAAAAGAAAATTGAAAGATTTCAGGCCAAGTTATTTCGCGACGTTTCGATTGTTAGTGTCCACAATTGTTAGTGTCATCTGAAGACGATTGAGCAAAAAATTGAACAACTGAAATGAGATAAGAATTGAAAGATTTCAAGCCAAATTACTTCACGACGTTTTGATTGTTAGTAATCACAATGGCTATCACTGAAGATGATTGTGGATACTAACAGTCAGAACGTCTTGAAGTAACTTGGCTTGAAATCTTTCGAATTCCATTTCAAAATAAATCTTCAAATTTTTTGTTTGATTTTTCGCTTCATTTCAGGTTTTTTTCCTAATATAATTGTTATTTTCAGCTTTCCTTCTCAATTTTATTTTTTCTTTCAGGGATTTCAAATCATACTGAAATTCTTTCAAATGAGTATTACGAGTATTTCAAAAATGCATTCAAAATACCGCATATTCTTGTTTTGACTGAAAGATTCGTTTTGGAGTTTTTTGACTATGAATGATTTTTAGTTAGCTATACTCCACTTTACAACTGAGGTTTCAACTTTGTATGTGTATCAACTTTAGAGAAGGTGCCAGGAAGGAAAGAAAATTCATGCATATTACATGCTCATACTTTATAAACCTGAACCATTATCTGATGAGGCAGTCCACTGGCCTTTATAGATGATGTTATGAGGGTCGTCTAGACTCCTGTGCCATCCTCCTCCTCCTCCGTATCCACCTCCACCACCATGACTGTGTCCACTATCAGCGTACACGATGTGTTTTTCCTCTCCGCCTCCTCCTTTTTCCTGCATTTTCTTGAGCAGCATCACCAAAGAAAGGAGTAACGAAACTTTTGCTATCATCAATGCCGAACCAGCCATTAGCGCCATTTTTCCCATTACCATATTTGCCATCATGGCACACATTCCAGCAGCAGCCATCAGTGCCATATTACCACCCTTTTTACCACCTCCTCCTCCACCTCCTCCCCCTTTCCGAGCTGAAATGGAATGAATTGCTAATGACAACATAGGTAAAACAGATCGAAAGTAACCGTTGAATTCATTCATTGTGCAATATGGGCAAATTTTCAGTAGGAAATTATTGGTAGGATAATAATACGACCTGACAAGAAAATATTATTTTCCACTACAAATCTGTTGAAGTAATAGCTCTCCTTCAAGTTTTCAAATACAATATGGGGTTGTTATGTTGTAAAGTTGTTGTTAAAAGAAATTATTTTGTTCATATTAATTCATTTAGCCTAAAAATGACACAATCGAGTGAAATAAAAAAAAATAAATATTTTACGCTGAGATATGATAATGAATGAAGAACGCAGAAAGATGGCCAAGGAATGATTGATAATAATAATTCTAATCTAAGTCAACCGTAAGCAGAATTGAACAAAAAATCACTGGTACTGGGCATATCTCAAGGCAGATAGAACTTTTGTAAATGGAAAAAAAAATCAATATACCTACGTCTTGGAATACTTGAAATTTGGAAAATCTTGGATTGTTTCATCTGTTTTGAGTTTCATTAATGAAGATGAATTGTTTGATTTAAAAGTAGTTCTAATGAAAACTTACAATAATTATAAATATCAAATTGAAATCCAGGAAGGAAATATGCTCTATTTCACTTATATGATTTGCAAATTGACGGATTAGTTTGAATATGTATCTGCATGATTTTCAGTCAACGGTAAGATTATTTGGATTATATCAGATACAGGTTTATCTGAATCAAATATCCAATATTATTGTCGTATTAGAATGAGAGATTCAAAGTTGTTCAAATTACGGTAAATTCATTTGACCCTCTTGCTGTACGAAAAAAACAGTGCGCTTTTCGAGATGAAATTCTATAGTCCTTTTCCAGTTTATCATATATTATGTCTACCGAAGTCTGAATCAACTGAGAAAATATAAATCATCACTCAATCCTGAGAATGACACAATTGATGTTAAAATCATCACCATTACACGATATATATTTTATATGATCAAATACGGTGTGGGCGACACCAATTTATGTATTTTCAACAATGTCCTCTTCACTTCTCACTCCTGACGTTTACTCAATCTTTCATGAAGCTGGACAAAAAAGAGTTTGTTTCATTACCTGCATATAGCTTACCTTCAAACGCATTAGATAAATTGAGTTTGATTGTCCTAGATTTGAAAAACTCGTCAATTTTTTCCATCAAAACGTCTCCGAGTTTTGCACTGCGTTCGGTAACTTCAGGGAAATTCTCCAATTCTGTCCGGTTCACAAAGTAATCAGGATTTTTTTGAATTTCAAGAAATCCTATGGTGATAGGTCTATCATCCATGATTGTTTCATTGAGCGCTTCCAAAGCTTTTTTCCTGAGGCAAGTTCCAGGGTGTTTTTCATAAAAGCATTTCTTATAGACACTTATTCCGCTCAAGAAATCCGTTATATTTTCCGACCTGGCATATTTTTCAATAGATAAAAGCAACACTAAACTTAACAATCTAAGACGCATGGTACTGCAGTTTTTCACGAACTGAAATGCAGGTGAAGTAAAGAACGATCTTATATGTTACAAAAAACAGTAGACCGTGTCATTTTAAATGTTTTTACAGTAAAAAATAGGCCTGAGAATTTTTGCAACGCTCCTAGCTATAATCACCGGTTCGAATAAGTAACTAGATGTCGGTAATATTATAGGTTTTGAAGGTTAATGGGATATTTTATGGTCTGAATGAAGATGAAACCAAGTCAGCACATTTGTGATTCAGTGATTTGATAACTGTGCAATCTGTACCGAACGAAGAAATCTTCAGGTATAACTTTTTGCATTCTCATGACTTTTCTCTTAGAACATAGAAAAAATAAAATGTTCACCATTCATATCTGATGAAAATAGTGCATAATTTATTTTTTTATTTTCTAGACTTATGTGTGGAGTTTACCTGAATGGAAATATACATATTTTTTGTCCAACACAAATATTTAGATGATGTTTGAAAACCAGAAATTTTTATGTCAGGTCTGCTCTGATTGGAATATATTTTTCGATAATTGATTAGACTTTTTTCAGTATTTTATATTTCGCAGTAACTTTCAGGGGTCAGCTTTTCAGTTTGTTTTAGAATGCATAAGCCAATTTTATTTTTCTGGTCGTAGAATGTAGAAATATCATTGAAGTACAAATGCATTCATTTGACTTTACATGAAAGTACAAACTAAAAATGGTAATACAATAGTGAAAAGATCTCCAAAAATACTCTCATTGGACATGTTAGCTGTAATTTTCCCAATAGAAAACTCAGTGAGTTACAGGAGCAATAACGAATATGAGGAAAAGATGAAACAGTCTTCATTAACGAAATAAGAAATTTCATTGAAATCTCAATACCAGTGATTGAATATGAAACTTTTGATTATATGAAATAGTTTATACCGAACTGATGGCTGGCTATGGTTAGCACACAGTTTGGTTAGAACCTGTCTCATCTTATTCTAAAACTTGGCACCTGTGTCCAATTTGGGCTTTTCATACGTTAGTGATGGCAGAATTTCTTGATTGGTCGAGCTTGTGGTACATTTGTGTATATTTTATCTATTCTTAATTTACTTCATTCTGTGCCAAACATTTCCGGGTTCTCCTGGCATTTTGTCATCATGCAAGGTCAGGTCAAAATATTATATTGTTTGGAAAGGAAGGTTTTGGCTTTCTACTTCTTCATTTTGATACAAAAAATGTAGGAATCTTCCAAAGAGAGGAAGGAAGCAATCAATTTAAAAAAAGTAACTCCATACAAAGATGTGCAGGTCATGCAAAAAATTACTTTCATCCACAAACTGAAAAAAAAAGTAACAGCTACGTTCATATAACATTGGATTACACGAAAGAAAAATACTTTCTAAACGAATACTTTCATATGAACACTAAATTATTCAAAAAACACTTTCCTCTATTCAGTTTGTATTCCAAATATTCGTTACGGAGTTGAATCAGATATCATTCACAGGATTCCTACAAATTATAGTAAATGAAAGTAAAAGTATAGTAAATTTCACATACATTACAATTTCTGTGTTTGCAACCTTGATGCCATCCTATACTGCAAATTTATGTTTTTGAAATATGACAGACATTGAGCGGAACGTATAATATTTTCAAGTGAAAAACATTATTACGGATCAATTTTTGAACCTATGAAAATGTTCATAGAAGGAAATAATATACAGGCTGATTTACGGCGGATGGCACATTAGATGTTTCTGGTGAACCAGACAACGAATCACTTTTGAAATTTGATAGAAAACATATTCGGACATTCTCTACCCAACTCAAATATTTTCGAAAATGAGATGTTGCCACTTACATTTGAATGGAACATCCTGTATATAATATCATTTTGGAATCTGTTACCGTGTTAAAAATGAGAAATGATGATTTGTTTGAAGGTGATTGACAATGTTTCGTGATGAATTTCACTAGTTCGGACTTCCATTGTCTATTATATAAAATGATTTGAAATCCCTGAAACAAGTAAAAAAGTAAAAAAGAATAATTAAAAAAGAATAGTTGAAAATAACAATTATATTAAGCAACAATAAACCTGAAATGAAATGATAGTAAAATAACCTACAAGTAAAAATAAAATTTTATTTATTCAATTATTATATTTTTACTTGTAGGTTATTTTACTATCATTTCATTTCAGGTTTATTGTTGCTTAATATAATTGTTATTTTCAACTATTCTTTTTTAATTATTCTTTTTTACTTGTTTCAGGGATTTCAAATCATTTTATATAATAGACAATGGAAGTCCGAACTAGTGAAATTCAGAAATGATGATATCCTCAAGTTAAGGGATACAATGGTACTGAAATTTCGTTCGTTACTTCAATACAGGGTGGTAACAAAATACAGTTTTTCCATTCGTTTAAAAAGTGACTGAAACTTGATAATTCCAAATGTGTTTGATCACAAATTGAGAAAGCTGTTCGAATTTTCTTCCTTTCACGCGTTTACCTTACTGGTCAAGTTTCGGACTATGTCCCTTCAGAATAGTATTTCCATTCGGTATGACTACTATTTGACAGTAACGTTGTGAGATTTCTGGAAACTATTAAAATTTTCGTAATTCGAGAAGTTTCAAATACCTCCAAAACAATGGAACAGAACTATTCAAACGAAGTTCTAATATATTTGTTTATTATTTTTGGGCAGTGTGATCAAATCAACAGCGGAAAGTGTAAAAAGTTCAACGAAAGGTTTCCGAATGTACCGTTAATGAACCTCAACAATATCGTATGATCTCCTTCACGCGTGTTCTGCTACTGCCGATTTTTTTTATTTGACCTAATCTAAAGTTTGTCCGATGTTCATTCAGCCTTATACCCATGGATTTTTTGATGATACCGATATAAACTTTTTCACAGGTGCATGGTATACGATATTCCCCCGCTGCTGATAGTGGATCTCTTTGGTCTTTCGCAGATCTCAGGCTTTGTTGTATTTTCGTGATGGGCTTGAACACTGTTTTTATGTTATGCTTCCTCGAAATTTTTTCGATTCTGTCTGTAACCCTAGGTATGTACGGTAGAAATGCACGTGCAACCGTTTGAGTTTCCTCCCTATTGTGACTTGTAGAAGTCTTCAGTTTCATGACCTTGTTGATCTCGGTTGCACTGTATCAATTCGATCTCAAAGCCACTTGAAGATGCTCCAATTCTTCTTGTAGGTGTTCCGGTTCACATATTCTACGGGCACGTTATGTCAGTGTGTTAATAATTCCCCGCTTTCGACTTGGCTGGTGATTTGAAAGTGCATGCAGATATCTGTCCGTGTGTGTCGGTTTTCGGTACACTTTATATGTCAGTCTTCTGCCTTGCCTTTTGACGGGTACATCTACAAAAGCTATTCGTTGTTCCTGTTCAGTCTCCATGGTGAACTTGATGCCACTGTCGGCTTGTACGGGAAGCCATAGAAATCCACAAACATATGGAAAACAACAACAGAAAAGAGGAGGTGATAAAGCTTAACCGGATTTAGAATCCAATACTAATAGATGCTGAGGTGGCAACAGTGATTTGCAACGTCAAATCATCAACAGGTAATAACACTGCGGCCAATAGCAACACATCAACAAAAATGGAGGGCTACCTGAGTGAACATAAATACAACTTACGAACTAAAAATAACTAGTCATCGGTGAATCATCAAGATGAATAAACCTCTGAAGAAGCCAGCCACTCGTGCTAGCGAAACGTTAGGATACAGCCTTCAAACCTGAATGAAGATTATAACATTGAAAATCTTGGCCGCAAAAGCCTTAACCAATTTATTTCAAAATATGTTCGAATCGCTGGCCGTTCTCTTTCTAGCCCTTCAAATTGTTGTTGTTGACTGCTTTCGTAGTGGCAGATCTGATTTCATTGTGATCCTAATCCAAATCATCTTTGGAACGCACGGGTGTTTTGTGAACTTTCTCTTTAAACATTCACCAATGATAAAAATTTTATCGATTAGGGTCAATACCACCCTGTATTGAAGTAACGGAGATTACGCTGAAGTGTAGGAAGCCCCCAAGTATCACCTGACTCCAAACAAAATTTCGGTACTATAGTATTTCTGTACTCAAAGATATCAGCATTTTTAGATGCCATGATTTCCGAAGAAAAAATTTGGATTTATTTCAGATTTCGAAAACGGTAACAGTTAGGTATGGGAAAATATCGAGGAGAGTTGTTGGATGATGATTGTTGATTCCAAAAACAATATTATATACAAGGTGTTCCATTTGAAAAAATCAAAGTTGCTAGTAATTCTGAATGGAAGTGGCAACAACGCATGGTCGTAATATTTCAATGCTCTTCATTGAATTTTCAAAGTGATCCGGTGTCGGTGAATCAGCCTGTATATTATAGTTGAAGAATAGTCTTTGCTGACTGAATTCCATGGCAGATGTCATTGTCATGTTTCTTGTCTCTTTCTATTTTTGATACCCAGTACATGGTTTTCTACCGGTAAATTATAATTTAAAACAGAGTTGAATGTTTCATTAAAAAAAGTTCAACAAATTCTGTTTAATTAATGTGGAATGGAAATTTTTAATAAAGTAATCAACTAATTCGTACACTAACTGAAATAATCCCCCATTGTGCAATTTTAGAAAATTTTGTGCTCACCTTGAGTGAGTTAATGAATTTCAAACATTTCATTGATTCTCGTCTGACTATTTGCGTTGAGAATTACACACAAAACTTTTGAAAAGCTAATATTGAAAATAAATAGGAAAAGTAGACCAGTGAAAGTTAGGACTAACAAGTATTCTGGTTATTACACCTGCACAGCGTAATTTATGCATACCGGATGACTCAATTCTGGTTCCGGCATCAGATATGTTGGAAATCATTAAACTATTGAAGAACATTCCAAAGAAAAGTGGTGTGAGGACTGATTTAATATGATTCTAACACTCACAGTTATTCACCCAAACTGATAGCGATCTTGGATTATTTCCAGGAGATTGATAATATCAACAGA